GATATTGAATTTCTCAGGTTAGACTCTGTTTCCTCAATAATCTCGATGTTCTTGATCGGTCATTTTCCCTTTTACCGAACTTGAAAAATGAATCGAATTTAGGTCTTGTAATTGCATTCTGATTTGTGGGTCTCTTTCCATTTTTAATAACATTCCGTTCTTGTTGACAATTGATTTGCAAGTATGAAGCTTTTCGATTTGGGTTTTAATGGCAAGTAGATTGGTCGGAATATTGATGGATCTGTATCATTTGTGAAAACAGGGAAGCGATGGTTGAGGAGGAGAAGAAGAAGACGCCATTGATGGGAGCATCATCATCTGATCGGAATCTTCCTGATTTCAAGAAATCTGTGAAGCTCAAATACGTGAAGCTTGGTTACCATTACCTTATCACACATGGCATGTACCTCTTCCTCTCTCCTCTGGTTCTTGTAATCGCTGCTCAGGTTTCAACTTTCTCTCTCAAGGATCTTGCTAATCTCTGGGAGCATCTTCAGTACAATCTAATCTCAGTCATTGTCTGTTCAACACTCTTTGTGTTTCTAATGACTATTTACTTCATGACTCGGCCACGTCCTGTCTACTTGGTTGACTTCTCCTGCTACAAACCCGAGGATGCTCGTAAATGCACCAAGAAGACCTTTATGGAACGTTCTAAACTCACTGGCTCTTTCACAGATGATAATCTTGAGTTTCAGCGCAAGATTCTTCAACGTTCAGGGCTCGGGGAATCGACTTACTTACCTGAGGCTGTACTCAATGTTCCTCCGAATCCGTGTATGAAAGAAGCTCGAAAAGAGGCAGAGATTGTGATGTTTGGAGCTATCGATGAGCTTCTTGCCAAGACGAATGTGAATCCTAAGGATATTGGGGTCTTGATTGTTAACTGCAGCTTGTTTAACCCGACGCCTTCGTTATCTGCTATGATTGTCAATCACTATAAGCTCCGTGGCAACATACTCAGCTACAACTTGGGAGGAATGGGTTGCAGTGCAGGTTTGATTTCAATCGATCTTGCGAAACACCTTCTCCAATCCATTCCCAACACTTATGCTATGGTTATCAGCATGGAGAATATCACATTGAACTGGTATTTCGGTAATGACCGATCTAAGCTTGTCTCGAATTGTCTTTTTAGAATGGGAGGGGCAGCAATTCTTCTCTCGAATAAACGATGGGACAGAAGAAGATCGAAATACGAGCTTGTTGATACGGTTAGGACACACAAGGGAGCTGATGATAAATGCTTTGGCTGCGTAACTCAAGAAGAGGATTCCGCAAGTAAGATTGGTGTAACCCTGTCCAAAGAACTAATGGCTGTTGCGGGTGATGCTCTAAAGACAAACATTACGACATTAGGACCACTGGTTCTGCCAACATCTGAACAGCTTCTATTCTTTGCAACATTAGTGGGACGGAAACTCTTCAAGATGAAGATCAAGCCGTACATCCCAGACTTCAAACTAGCATTTGAGCATTTCTGCATCCACGCAGGAGGAAGAGCTGTTCTTGATGAGTTAGAGAAGAACTTGAAACTCTCGGATTGGCATATGGAACCCTCGAGAATGACACTCTACCGCTTTGGTAACACATCGAGTAGTTCTTTGTGGTATGAGTTAGCGTATAGTGAGGCCAAAGGAAGGATCAAGAAAGGTGATAGAATTTGGCAGATTGCTTTTGGTTCAGGGTTCAAGTGCAACAGTGCAGTTTGGAAAGCCGTAAGGTCGGTAAACCCTAACAAAGAGAAGAACCCATGGATGGATGAAATTAACGAGTTTCCAGTTGATGTCCCTACGCTCTCAACAATCTAGAAATCACTCAGCCAACATTGGCAAATGTTCAGAAGAGACTTCTGAGTTTTCTTTATTTATTTTGTTTCCCATGTTCTCGCGAGTTTTGTATTTTTCGATATTCTGCGCCTGTTCGATTTTGTGTCTTCCTAATGAGTTTACCTTGTTCTTGATTGGTTAACAAATGCACCAATTTTTGCTCCTTTTTTGGGTTGAAACAAAAAAAGTTCAGAAATCTTTTGACTGTCACCAACAAAAGGTATTTATTTACCATTTAGAGAAACCAAACACTTCTCATCCTTGATTAGTTTGATACATGATCAGTGTAAAGAAGGAGAGATAGATATATCTACTCTTCAGTCACATACCTATTCTTCCTTGCTCCCAATGCAACTCTCTGAAACAAATCCGAAAATTGAACAAAGGAAAAACAAAATGGTAAGTATTGCAGAAAGTGTTCACATGCTTAGATCTATCTACTACTTCTATGCAACTATTATTATCTTAACTGAGAATATTTTGGTGTAGGCTTTGATTCCGGTTAGGAAACGGATGTAAGTCGGCTTCATAGATCCACTTGCTGGTATTGCTCTGATGTTTGGGACAAGATACTCAGCAACCTGAAGCATGTGTAATCTCAAATCATGAATCATGGTACTAGAGATTAAAGGTTTTAACTTGCATTATGGTTTATGATGGAAAGAAAAAGACTTTTGGTTTCTTACCACTTCGGCTGGCTCTGCCAAAACATTAATGAAGAACTTGGCCTGCAATAGAGAAGATATTAGAGGAATCTCTTGGAAAGGAATCTAAATTTTGTTTCGTGTAAAGTCATCTAACTTGTTTTGTTGTCGCTCCGGACATGAGCAGATCAGTTGTGACCATTCCAGGCTGCAACAAACCCAGAGAAACACATTAGAACTATGACCACATTTAGATCTCGGAAAATTTCTCAGAAACTGTATCTAGGAGGAGAAAACACTGAGAACTCCATGGGAAAGGTAAAAAACAACCAAAAACAAACGAAAATATATATCCCGAATACATACCGATAGATTGTGCACCACGACATTTTTGACATCTTGCATCTGCAACTCTGCCTACGAAAGACAGAAACAACTAGAGAGGTCATATAAGGAGAAGAGAAAATGAAAACAAGTTCAACAGATATTGCTTTGGCATTTACCTGTAATGACTTTGTCAGGTGAACAACACTCCGTTTAGTTGCACCATATGCAGCAAACCTGTCAGACGTTAGTCAAGAAAATGCTATTAGACATTACAGACAAGAGAGCCTAAAACAGATTCACTAAAGCATATTCCCAAGAAACTTCAATAAATCTAGAAAACCTGGGTGTTGGTCTCCCATCTGAACCAGCTCCATCGATATTGAAGATATGACCACCTCGAGATTGAGTCAACATCATATTCATTGCCTAAGAACCATGAACACAAGTCAGTTAATCCAACTGATTATAGCGTAAGACACGCTGAATTCATCGTCCAATACACTACCTCTCGGCAACATAACATCAGACCAAGAGTGTTGGTTTTCACAACTTCACTGCACAAAGAATCTCAAAGAGTTAACGACTGAAACCAATACAGAAGAAACTAACGAAGAAAGGGATCAAGTTTAACACAAAGACTTACATAAGATCCTCATCCGAGGCCTCTGCCAAAGGTTTATAGCTATATGCATTAGATCCCGCATTATTTATCTGTATCATCATCTCAAGAGAGTATCAAGACAATGCACAACATAGGATGTTCATCATGATTGTATAAACATGTATACCCAAATGTCAATGTATTTCAGATTCTTCTGACAATAAGCTACAAGTTCCTTCACATCTTTCCCTTCCCTAACATCACACTTAGTTCCCTGGTCAAAGAAAATGGTTTTTTAAGCATTACATTTCATGATATCACTGAGCAAAAAACTTCAAGAGGAACACGAGAAAGGAAAAAGGAACGGTAAAAGAAGGCGGTACCCACACATGCTCCCCGAATTCTTCCTTAAGACTCTGAACAACAGACTCAACTCTTTCAGCTGCAAGACAAGAACAGTCATAACTTGTTTGATTGTTTCTTAGTGACACATAACTCGAGAAAATGTCTTCAAGACAACAAAGAGGGACTGGTTCTTACCTGATCTAGAGCAAATCACAACATTGTCTCCTGCTTTTAGAAACTCTCTAGCTAATGCATTTCCTATACCTGAACAAATCAAGAAAATCAAACACCACTATAAACTCAAAATACATTTTGGCATTTTGCGAATTCGTCAAAGAACAGAGTAAATTGACAAGGACAGAGAGTTATTGAACCTTTGGTTGAGCCAGTGATCAAGACGTTATACGGAGGAGTCATCGGTTCTCTTTTCCCTGAGATTCGAGCTTCCACCGCCGCATACGGCGGAGAAACCGAGAGGTTTTGGCGCGAAACAACAATAGCTGCGAGACCGAAGCGTTCGGTGAGTAAACGACCACCGTAACAAGGAGAGAGAAACGGAAGCTGAGTGACATTTGCGACAGAGGAAGACCGAAGCCTAAGCAACGGTGAAGAAGAGACATTGAAACTCGAAGTAGCCATTGC